CCCCCCTCGCCTCCGTCCCCCTCCTGGATCCGCCAATGATTACTGTGTGATCATTGTACTAGCGATCTTTGGCTTTTTTGCTTGCTTCTTTTTTGGAACTGTTCTCCTGCGGCTTCCTTAAATTTTCGGTTACCGATCCTCTTACCTTCCTATACAGCCATCATTACTCGTTTGATAACTAAGAATTGGAATATACAAGAATTTAAGGCTTTAAAACACTCGCAGGCGACAACCTGTTCCTTCGGGTGACTTCAGATTTTCTTACTGATAAATATGTAATAATGCTGTGATTAATTACCGCGTATTTTTGTTTAAAGGTATCTGATGGTGTAGAAGTAACGGTGGAAGATTCAGAGGAATACACAGTGGAAACATTACCGACGAATAGGGAAAGCTGCTCTATAAATTGGTTTAGCAGTCTTCGCTGTAGTAAGCCTTCACTGTTTTTCGCTTTTTTGTCATAAATTCGTTATTGATTCTGTTAGAAAAACTTATAAAAATAATAAAAAGCACAGGTGTAGTAGTAATAATATGGATTATAAGTAGTCAGCGCGCCGACTGCCGGGGCGAAGATGCGCTGTTTGCACAGCCCCACACAGGTTTTTGTTGCTAACGGCACTGTTTTTTCCGGCAGATGCTTCAGCTAAAAGAACTGAGACTGGCCACCACGACTGTGAGAAAGCATTCCCTCAAAATTTCCACTTTCCAGTTTTTCTGATTCCCGACTTAGCAATTTATCCGCCAAAAATTTTCACGGGCCCCTGCGTGAGAACCATGCATTCTTCCGAATAATCTTTTATCGATGGAAATATTTTGAAATAATATTAGAAATGGTGTGGGTATAAAAGAATGCGTTTTATAGGGGTACTGGAACATTTGGCTGAGATTATTCAGAATGGTCCAGACGAACTGATTGGCGAAATTGTCAATATCAGGATTGCCTGGCCCGCTGTGATAACCATGTTAACAAGCCAACCAGACGAGCATTTCCGTAATCATCTCTTCTCACTTCTTATGCACATTTTGGTACTTTCTTCTTTAAAATTTTATTCAGATGGTATAACTTCTTTTTTCCAGGATATCATAAACATTAAATACTTCTTGATTACTCGGGCAGTTTGACTCTCGTTGTTGTTTTCCGTCCTAGAAGCGGCATTTTTATGCTTTTTTTTGCAGCTATGCAATGCAGAAAATGCATATCGACGAGGGATTTTTCTCTGTGTGTGTATGTGTGTGTGTGTGTGTGCGTGTGTGTGTGTGTATGTGTGTGTGTGTGTGTGTGTGTGTGTGTGTGTGTGCTGGGACTCTGTGCCGATTTTTCATCTCGAGACCACAAGGCTGAAACATTTGGGAACTTAATCTACATGCATCTGCGGTTTTCATCTTCAAAATGGGTGCTCTTACCCGCGTGGTACCACCCACTTACGGACCCATGAAAGGATTTTACGGGCAAGCTGATAACTTCAGAACCTGAAAATCTAGAAGACTGTAATTTTAAGGAAATGTTTCCCGTCCGCGTAGGTGTTAATGAGCTCAAACTCA